AGAAATTTAAGAGAAATACATTTACTGCATGCTTAAACTAAGCAGCAAAGAACATAGAAAACATATAAAGACCATAGAATTCCTGGAGAACTAATGATTAATTTAAAGCCTAGAACAAATAAAGTATAAGAATAGAAATACTCAAATTGCACTTTAACTTATAAACAGCAGCCTGCTGTATGACTTTCCATCAGACAGAAACCTTCTAGGTTCTCCTCTGTCGTAAAAGTTGTAAAGGGGAAGTTATACCTGCAGATCCACACAGAAATCAACAAACTATAGGGGCAAAGGATAAAAGATCTCTCAGACACTGCAGACACAATCATAGCAACCATCAACTGGATTAGCTGATTAGTTTGTCTCTTTTCCTAGAACACTGTCAGAGGGTGAGCATGCCCAATAAAGAAGGATCATAACAATAACTATTTTTAAAATTTAAAAATCTGCCTTAAAGAATTTTCATTTCTTTAACACTAATTAATGTTGGGTTTCATTCATCTCATATTTAAGAGAAACTGATAAATGGGGTGCTGGTGCTTCTTTCTTCCCTATAGGTTAAATAGTTGATGTAAGAACTATGCCCTATGACTTTTTTTTAAATATACACTCATTACTTGCTAATGTTTTTTGGCACGAGGATGAAGAAACATCTATTCTCTGTGAAAAGCTTATAGACTGATGATGAGGGTGAACTTCTTTTTTCATTATACATTGTTTAAACAACTTTTTTATATAATAACACAAGCTGGAAATTATGAATTTACTCGTATTCACAGGGAGAAAATTAAACTTTAATGGATTAATAGATAAATACACCCCCAAAATACTAAGATCCTGTTGGATGGATGAAACTTAAGTTTGCTTTTGTGTTCTTCTGGCAGTTTCTATAGTTTGTAGAAAATATAAAGAATTTGTTGAAAATCCATTATTCTGATTACTATGTGCCAAAGAGTTCAGTGTTTGAATTTTTTGAGGATACAAAAAAAAAATAAAATCCTCAGGAGGGTAAACCTCTAACTGATCTTGGTAGCTTTAATATTTATTTAAAATTTGGGGCAACAACATTTCTTGATCGACACAATTTCTGTCAGCATTTATACGAAGCTGGGCTTACTGCACATAGTGATATTTGCGTAGCATCAATTTTCAGGATGAGCTGCGGCGATTTCTGGTTTTGAGCATCCTTCGTCTTTTCCTTTCATCTCTGTTTTGGGTCAGAATGTTCAAATTTAGCCAAAATAAGGGTTTAAAACAGAACAGTGCTTCCTAACAAACATCAAAAAAGTTTTTGAAATTAATAGAACAGCCTAACAAAAAAAAAAAATCCTTAATCAATTTAAACCTTAGTCCCTTTGAAAATAATTGTTAAAATAAATTACAAAAATTTAACTTTTAACTTTTCATCAGACCAATATGAGGAAGAAATTACCTGGTATGTATCACAATAATACAATTATCTAAAAATAAGTGTAATGCAGTAATAGACAATCACGTTAACACACAGAATAAAATAAAAACTTTAATATTGACTTTACACTTTAATACAAAAGTCTTATACAAAATATTTCTTTTGGCTTGCTGAGAAATTGTTTTTCTGCATTAATAAGGCACATTAACATGCTTAGCTTGTGTAAATGGAGAAAGCTGGCCTTTCCTCCAGTTTAGCATCCTTAAGACATTACATATAAATTTCCTAATTCTCTGGTCTGAATAAACAGACATAAAATCTAAGATTAAGGTAATCTGGAAAAAAAACAAAACAAACACACTCACAATCACAATAGTACTGTGAAAAAACTCCTGAACCACTCTTCTTCCAAAATATCCTGTAATCTCTTAAATTGGACCTGACTAATACTGCCACAGCATTTTGTTAAAAGGTTTTTCCTCAGGAAATCAGTGAATTGTTAGTTTCTGTCCAGTTCTTTTTCAAGGAATTTGTTAAAGACAAAACATAAACATTTGGTAATAAAGGAAAAGAAAAAAATGCTGAACGTTGAACCTAAAACATGATACATGACGTACAAAACTATTCATTTCTTTGGTTATGACAGAAAGAAATAGCAGACAACATTCAAACCAAAGGCTTCTAATCAGGCTTTACTCAAGTATTCAAAAACAGGTGTTTGATGGATTCATTAAACATTCTCTTTCAGAAACTGCTAACCTGCTGTAGACCCACAGACCCAGCGCCTCTCCTTTTTTGTAAAGATGTGCAAAAAAAAAACACATTTATCCTCCAGCAGCCTTATCTCACTGAATAAGAAAAAAAAAATCATCTCCTCTTCCAGTCATCTAGGGCCACTATCCCGCAGAGCAAAGACACATTCTTACTCCAGCACACCTGAATATAACGGTTGACTAACCTCGTCAGTACAGTATCAGAGTAAGACTGCATCTGGATTGTAGCTCCTCCTGCAGCTCTTTTTCCTTCAACTTTTGTGGGCTCAACAGTAAGACCTCTATTGTGGGGAGAAAAAGAGATCCTGACTGATGCCATGAATCCTGACAGCCTTCCACCTTATGGATGTCATTATGCATGAATGAGGGTAGTCTAATTGAGACTACAACCGACTGGAAAAGAACTACAAAAAAAAAAAATGTACACACATTTTGTAAAGATCCTGAGATGGGATTTGCCTATATATGATTGTGGGAGTCCGTATAGTTCCTCATTGCAAGATTCGACTTCTATGCTAAATGACCTAAGTGTAGGAATAATCCTGCTTCCTTTTAACCCCTTCCTTAGTGCCAGCACTAATGAAATGCTAACACTTTGAAATACGTGTACTTATAACTTTGCAAAATTCATATGTAGCTGGTGACGCCTTTCTAACAGCTATGCATTTGATCCAGTTGTGTTGGAGCTTTAGTAGATCTACATGTTGCAAAATGGAGGCTCTGCTTGGATTTCAGTGCATTTACTCTGTGTATTAATCGGCCATATTTAAGGATCAACTAACCATTTTGGGGAAAAAATTCAAAGTTCAGATATAAGCAATGACATAATTTACAGAAAATGTTTAGCTGCAAGCATCCTGCATGCCCAGGCAAGTGAGTCTTTATCACTGTAGACAGCACGGCATAGTTTGAGATTAAAGTATTACTGACCATTGCAGTGAAATGAGTCACTTCTGTCAATTATTCAGGTGGTGGCAAACATAAATACTGTGTAAAGGTTCTGACAGTTTCTCTATTGCAGACTGGCTTATAGGCTGGTGAAATTTGTTTTTTTCTACAGAGGGAAACTTTCTGTGAACTCTTAAAAAAGAAATTTCAAAACAAAACAAAAATTTCTGTGACACATTCATTTTACTTTGGTAAAGTGCCTTTAAAAGCCAGGAGGCTGGAACATAAAAAGCAATTTTTACCATTTGATCAACTACAAAAATCTTGTGAAATCGACATGTACTTTAAAAAGAAGGCAGCTTTTAAAGTTTAAAGATCTTAAATGTTCCTTTTAGTATTTAAACATTTTGTTCTAAGGTTTAGGAAAAATCAAGAATGTCGATGAAAATATTTTTTTGATCAAAACATTTTTCATGTTATAATAGTCAGCTTACAGCCTAATGAAAGAAAAGACTGTGTTTTTCTGCATAACTAAGAAAAAACATTAACCTTATGCATGTGAAGGACTTCTAGAAAGATATTTTATATCTTTTTTATAAGGATAAATTTCAACCAGTAGCATTTCATAAATCTCCTGAGTCATTGGCTTTATTCTTTTTATGATCACAAGACTTCCTTCAAACACAGTTCTATATCATAACGGGCCAAAGTTACTAAGCTCCAGTGTTGAGAAGGTAAAGAAGCAGTGATGGAGTTGGTGAGAAAGGTTGCAGAGTTCATATTCTGGGCCAGTTAAACCAAATGCAGATATGCAACAAATCATTCACTTCCTTCATGCTCTAACAGCTGTGTTACAGTTTGAATGATGGTCACGTTTTTTTTTACCAGCCTATTTGATCAACAAAGTGTAAAATATTTAAACAGATATATCAATATATATATATATATATATATATATATATATATATATATATATATATATATATATATATATATAGTTTTAGATACGCAAAGTTTTCAAGAAAAGCGTGAAAGGAAAAGCCACTTTAATGGATGTAGGCTGAAAAGAAATAACTTCCATTTGTAACATCATTTAGGAACTTGTCTGCCGTGACATCTTAGCTCCTAAAACACCAAAAGTTGCACAGACGGACATTTTAACCTGTAGATTCTACCTTGTAACAGAAGGACGCGCAGCTGTTACAGAAGGGCCATCTAATGGGGGTAAATGGAAGGCAAAACATTCCCTAAAACTCCCCATTAGACAACCATGGTGAAGTCTCCAATAGATTGTATTTAGGGCTTATTCCAATAATGCCACAAAAGCTGCTAGCTGCACTTTTCCACTTTCCTCATATAGCCATAAAGTCTAACTATGCCTTAGTTTTTTTTTTTTTTTGGTTTAATGCTTCTTTAGTAAACACTGTGCTGGTGCAAGAATACTATTTATGCTTTCACAGAAGTCAGCTTTGGCACTTTTGGCAGATGCAACGAAAGGCTTAAGCATAAACAGTATACCCATTAGGGATACAGTTAAAAGCTGTTAGCTAGTAAGTTTGATGCCTTTCGTTGATGAGTGAGCGAAAAGCCCACATTTCATTAGAAATGGACTGAAAACAAAACAAACTGAAAAGAGGTAATGGCGTTCTGCAAAGAAGGGAGACAATTTGATTGGAACATTATGAAGAGAAGGAAATGAGTGTGGGTCAGGAGTTTTGTGCAGAATTCTTTCCTTCACTCTGACAGGTTTTTCTCCTTGCACATTACATCCCTGCATAGATTCTTAGATTTTTTTTTTTATACACATAACCAAACTTTCCTTTTTTGTCTGTCTAGAAATCATTATCCAAACAAACACATGCAATATGAAAACAATATAGGCACTTGAATACAAAATAAGCTGTATATTAGTGTAATAAAATTCTCTGTAATATGCTGCACCAGTTTTTGTTTTGCTGAAACTGAATGTTTTATCCTCTTTGGCGTGCATATACACATAAATTCTCATTTATAAAGTGCGAATAGTACTTGGTGAAAAATGATGCATCATCTGATCTCCCGTATTTGTTTCTGACTTGATTCCTGATCATTTCTCTGGTAACAAATCACTGTCATGTAGGTCAACTTCCAGTTCATCTCCTGTGCCACAAATCTGATGGACTAAACAACTCTAACTGAAAGTCCTTTCTTTCAAAGCTGTTTGGTTGTAATGCCTCAAACACCCTGGTGGGGGCAGCAACTTAGTGGAAAGGTTACTTCTCATCCACGACTATGATTTCCTCCAGGAGCTTCTCCTCTGAGTCGGAGCAGTCTGATAGCTTGTCCAGGTACTCGATGTCGTCGAAGCGCTCAGCAACGCACTGAGCTGTGAGTCGGGCCTCTGGGTCGTGGTCCCAACATTCCTCTATAGAGCCGCACACCATCTGGATGCCCTGTGAAGGGAAACAAGTGAGGGTCAGTCAGAGAGGGACTGTGGAGCGGCATCCCTGGTGTCTGTTTGAAGGTGACATAACGGGGCTCATTTTTACTTATAGTAGAAAATATTTAGAACATCAATATCAATTCACAAGCTTTTATTTTTAAGAGTTGAAATACAGAACACAAAATCATTTTCAGTGACTAAGCAAGTTTAGCTGTGCTTTTATAGGACAAAACTAATTCTAAGACAAATTATTTTGATTGTTGGACAAGTTTGGTAGGCAGAAATGTACATTAGGAACACAATAATAAATTTAGGGTTAGGGTTTTTGATTTTTCAAACTTATATAGAACATGAAAATTATTAATGGCCTTGGAAAATCTAGATTTTAAACTTGGCATTCAAACAATAAGTTTGCTTCTTTCAAGAAATAAAAATACCTCATAATAAAATAACACTAAAGGAATGCTGATTAAAAAGATGCATCTATATATATATATATATATATATATATATATATATATATATATATATATATATATATATATATATATATATATATATATATATATATATCTATGGTCCAATAAAAATAACTTGAAAATTAAGAACACCAACTATGCCCTGGCTTCGATTACTGACCAGGTTTTATATGTTTCCAGTTTTTTTTTAAGTGGCTAAATCTGAGATCTGTTTTTTTCATATTTTTTTTTCCATTACATAACTTGTTTCAGTGAAGAATTAGAGATACTTTATAACAGACCATCATGAAATGGTGCATAATCCCATGCAAAGTTGTTCACTCCCTTGGAGTGAAAGTAACATGCTCATGAGAGTATTAACCAACTTTTCACATCAGTTTAATACTTTTTGCCAAGTCTTTGGATAAAAGTTGCAAACCTTAGACTGAAATGTTCCTGCAAGAGCTTCACATTGTATTTGATTTAGACTGACTTTGCCATTTTACCTGATCTTCATTTAATGATTATGTAACATAAGATGCCATTTAATTGCATTTCATTTGGTACTACCTTTTGCTAGATTACGGCATTTAATTCCCTTAGAATTAAGCATTAAGTCACTGGAGTTTGTGGTTTTAATATGACTAAATGTTAAATGGCCAAAATCATGCAAAATCAAAGTTTCAAGCTGTTTGCTATGTTATAACTGTGTTATAACAAAGCTAACATTATTTTGCCTAATTAATGCACCCCTCTGTTATCCTTGTGGGTTCTTTTGTTTGAGCAGAAGCCCCTCCCTGTCTGATGAAAATGAACAATTGGAGAAGATCTATGTAAGAAGACTTTCTGCAGGAAGCACCTACGTTGACCACACTGTGAACAAACGGCCGCTTTCTCTGATCAGGGAGGCGAGCGCAATGATTCTGGCACCAAGTTTAGACAAACTGCCTCTTTTAGCAGCTAATCTGCAGAGGGCAGAAACTTTCCTTTTTAGCTAATGCTTAAGTAAAAAAAAAAAGAAAAAAATATATATGTTATTATTTTTGGCATCTGAGAGGACTTAATTCAGCCTCCAGAAGTGGTGTGGTACAACGACGTCATGCAATGTGTGACACTCAGACGGAACGAGGAGGCTTCGCTTTAAAAGTGCTTTTCTTCAAATTGGAAGAAAAAAAAAATTCATAACAAATTAATACTCATGTAATTCTAAAGGCATTACTTCATTATATGCATATATATATATATATATATATATATATATATATATATATATATATATATATATATATATATATATATGCTTCTAGCTGACTTTAATTGACTTCAAATAGCATGGTAGAGAACCTTTCAAGGTTGCAAACACTTCATCATTTCATGATGGTCTGTTATAAAGTATCTCTAATTCTTCACTGAAACAATCATTGTGCTCGCCTCTGTGTTTGAATAAAAGCATGACTGTTTTATTGCCTATCCTATTGAAAGTTTGCTGCTTCTTCTTACTGTGTGGCTCGTCCAGCTGTTTGGGATCTCAGGTCTTCCTCTGTCTCGGAGAACGCTGTCCTTCATGCTCTCAACACATGGGTGCTCCCTCAGGTTCCCGAATGGAGGCTTGTACTCCTGCACCTCTGCATGAATAAAAGGTACAGGAAACAAATATTTAACAATCAAGTTTACAATTAGTTTCTTCTGAAATGAAAACTGTTGAATTAGATTTGTTTCCCCCGGATCCGATAGTCTTTGTTTGATGTCAGTTTTTTTCATGTCTACAATTTTAATATCTGACAGGCTGGAAAAAAACGAAGAATGCCTTTCAATGCTCCAAAGTGCTTAGATACAAATTCTCACAACTTAGGTCAAGGTCAAGCTGACATTGAATTTCACGTATCTGATAAGATGAGTCTTAGTTGGTGCATCAGTGCACTGAGCAGAGGATGATGTTATTTAGTTACTCCTGAGTTATTTCTGTTACAGAATCATCAGTTTTGTAGCAGATGTGAATGCTTGGTAAAGGTTTGTTAGAGCGTTTTTGCTCATACAGAAGCCTCACTTGTCTGCTGTTCAAAGTAAGAATGTTACCGAGTACAATGTGAGAAAAGAAATGCTGGAATATAGTTTTATTTTTTCTTTAAAGGCTACATATTTTCTTTAATGTATCTATCAGTCTGGCTTTAGATATGCGCAGGTTGCAGAAGGAAGCTATTTTCAGAAGCATAGCCATTTCCTGACTAGTTAAAATCAACAAACGTCTTACTTGAAGGCATGTTGTCTTGTCTTTACAACTTTTATAGGGCTAGCTAAAATAAAAAGGCCTGAAATTTATAACCATAGGAAGCAAGTTGTGGGCTTAAGTAAAAAAAAAAAAAGCTTTAATTTAAACAGACATTGTTTTGTTACCAAAGATAAGAACACATAAAATAATTTGGGTTATTAAGCTGATTGTTAGATTTTCCAAAACTCTCAGGATTTGCAACCATGATAAATATGAATTAGATTAAAGAGTGCACAAACCTTATGTAGGTTACTTTTACTCCAACTATTACACCAAATTCATTTAGTCAAAAGCTCCTCTGTAAAAACACACTAAGTTGGGAAGATCTATAAAGCTCATAGACAGAAAAACAATAATTTCTAGGATCCTAAGAGTGGCTGTAATGTCTTAGTAGAAGCTAAATTCTTCTCCCTTTCAGCAAAGCCGCAGCCAACCTGCACTCAGTGAAAGGTCTGCTCACTGTTGATTGAAAGATGGACTCAAAAGCCAAAACTGAACCAAAAATACAGTCAAAAACACAAGAAAGGAAGCTCGAGTATACTTTTTTTATTTAATTCAAATCAGACATCTGTACTGCACAGCTTTTTTCCCCTTCAGACATTTGTCAGAAATGTCTGTACAAACTGTCTGGGACTCCATATGAGAAATTCTAGTTTTTGAGTCTACTGCGAACTTGGCCAATTTTTCCCTAAACCCTCAGCTCTCTCTTTTTGACTGAATAATGCTCCCCTGAGGACTACTGTTTCTCTTCTCTCTTTCTAGTTCATATTCAGCCCACAAAATTCTAAGTAGACAGAAAGAGCCAGGTCTCTATCAGGAACATGGGGAGAAGTTTGTCTTTGGAGAGCTGACTAATCCTCTGTCTGGCTTTCATTAGGCTGTGGTGGCACTGACACTTGTTTTGTGAAAGTCATGCAATCTAGTCGTATTTACGTTTATTACACATTAGTGGTGCTTACTCTGGAACATATGTCACCAACTTAACCTACCATTTACGCTAACTTCTACATGCCCTAACCCCAATAAACACAATAATGCCACTTCAATAAAACCAAAGCGGGTAGGCTAAGTTTCCTCTTCACTTTCACAGACCTAGTTGTCCCCAAATGTGCAGCACTGCAGTTAGATCCACACCAACTGATCACTCCACTAAGACACATATACATACAGCTTCTATAGTTGCACATATCTTCTTCTCTTTGCGACATCTGGAAAGCAGCTGCCCTAACCTCTCCGCCCACTCTCTCAGTCTGAGCAAGCCTCTCCCTCTGGGGAATGAAAGCATTTCTCCGACTGTAGCTCTACGTTCGCCTCACTCCACTATTATCCCCCTTTTTCGCCCCACCCGGCCGAGGAATGCCATCTCAACCATTTCAAGCCCTAAATCTGGAAGGGCTAAATTATACAGGAGAAAAAATGTGTAGAAAAAGAGACTTAGATAAAACAGACCTAAGCTTTAAATCCATATTTCTTTTTTCCGTGGCGTTACGTTTAGCTTTTCTGACTTTATAGTCTTGGGAGATAAAAGACAGTAAGGCGATGTTTAATGCCTGGTTCTGTGAGCAGACGGAGTCGCTCTTTTTGCCTTTCAGGTCTCAGATCAGACCACTGCAGAAAATCAGAGAAGTGGATGCACTGATTGGATGAAAGCAGGGAGCATCGGAGTCAAAATAAAAGCTTGTCAGAGTATATTGTATAATGAAACTCATGTCTTTCTGAGGTTGTGTTAGTTTGGTGGTGCGCTTTGTTCAATGTTGTTAGTTGAGTCATGAGTAATTCCCTCACCACTTGGACCAACTTAGAAAAAAAAAACGGATTTGGATTATGAAAGCATGTAGCTGTTTTTATTTGACTCTGTTACACACCAATTTAATGATGTGTACCTTATTAAACAGGGATAAACACAGTATAGTGTAGCTATACAAATATTTATAATTACCAGTATTTTTTTCTTTCTTAAGGGACTGCAAAGTTTTCCTGAAATTGGGATTACGTGGAGCTGCTGATAGCTGTCACTATTTTACCTTTAGTAGAGAGGATTGAGAAGTAGGATCTTTAGAAGGACTAGCAAACAGCTGGTTGAAGTGGGACAGGCTCCGAAATAGATCATGATCTGATTTAAAGGCCTAATCTAATTTCACATATAGACATGTTTCACTACCTTCCATGCTTAAACTTAAAGCAAACACATTTTTGCTTGCCCAGTACCCACCTTTAAAAACCATACATATAGAAGTTCTGCAGAGGTCCGTCCAAAGACAGCATATTACCTCTTTTTGTTCTTGCAACAGTTAATTTGAAAAAGTATTGAGAAAAAATTGGCACTATTTAAATGAAACAGTCTAACTCTCTTTCCAGATCACCATTTTGTTTGAGCTACACGTATTTCTTAAATCTTTTAATCATTATTCAGGTATCCCAGATCCAGCCCCAGGGTTAGTCACAAACCCCTAACCACTAAACAATTTAATTGGTAATATAGGATTAAGGAACAATTTTGGGAAAATGTTATGAGATGAAGTAAAGACAGCAAAATTATCTTTCAGAGTTTTCGTTTTCAAGGCCTTAAAGGCAGTTTGTCTCATCCCTTCCCCTAAACCACAAAATAAAGTAGAACATGATTCTCCTAACAAATATGGGGCTAAGGGTGGAAAGAGAGGTTAAGGGGTCAAATACAATTCAATTTAAAACCACAACAACTGTGTGTTTTCTTAAACAGACATAAATCCCAACCATAAAACAGCCTCAGAAAGGAAGCAAATATTTCTGAATCCAACATGTTTAACAACGGGCCGAAGATTCAACCAAAGCAACACGAATGAACCCCAAACAACCTGTGGGGGACTGATAATGGTGAGCTTTTTGAACAAGTCCCCCGCCTTTTCCTTTAAAACATATCTGTGCCCCCCTTCAAATATTCTGTTTTGTTTTGTAATTAAAAAGCATTTGTATTCCAGTTTTCATGTCAGGTTGCATAGATAAAGGCAGTTTGATAATTAATATTTTGGCAGAGAGGCAATTAAGCAGCCTGGTGTAAAGAACATCATACTTATAAGTGCCTGTTCGTATTTTCAGGTAAGCTGAAGTGGTGAAAAGATACCAACAGAACATCTGATGGTTATGAATTAATGCTGCAGAGCTCCATAGGACAGAATGTTTATTGTGCATTCATAATCGGAAAGCTATTGTCTGATAGGGACTGCAGCTAAATGAGTATTGGGAACACGTGTGTTTTAGCAGATGGTCACAGCCTGGTATGAAGCATGTCAGACTTATGAGTGTCTGTATTTTCAGACAAAACTGAGATTAAAAACACTGTTTTACAAACAATGGATGTACAATAGGTAGCTGGTCGGGGGCCAAAACTCAAGAAAATAACTTTGATTCTGGTCACAAACCCATTTTTTGAGCATCTCCTGTCCCATTGAAGAGTAGTTAAGGGCTTAAATTCTTGTTTTATTTAGATGACATCTTCTCCTTCAGATCATTTTCCTTACCCACTAACAGCAAGTTGTAATCAACAAATTATATTAATCTTGAAAGCAAATGATGTATATGAAAATGTTTACTTGGTTAGCAAATGGGCTTCTGCAGAACAGTAGCATGCAGCAGTTTGGATTATTTTTATTACACAGGATCACTAATTGTTATAATGATATATGGTAAACAATACTTTATTGGCCATCCCTTGTTTATACACAGGATTTTCTCTTTAAGCATGAGAGTTTAGCTCTTATCAGCTTCACCCTGTTGACCTTCTGGGAGGGTTTCCAGGTCTTGAAAATGGGAACAGAGATACAGTATATGGAAGGCAGAAAAAACAAATAAACTGCCCCAGCCGCTGCTTCTACCTTTAGTCTGTAAGGTGGGACAGGAACTCCTGCGCTTCCCCTGTCAAGAAAAATTTACCACAGTATCACGTCTGCTTGTAGCTAAGTTAAAGTCATATGGCTGTGATCAGCGTTGCATTGCAAAGAGTTGGCGACCACAGAAACAAGCAGGAAGAGTTGTAATAAAATGGTAAATTCTTCAAGGCTAAATGTTAGTAGAATTATATTTGTATTTGCTTTTAATGTAGTTCTCCAAATGACGGAACGTAAAATTTGATTTTCAACAGAAAATAAAAAGGCTCAGAATACAGATGACTAAAGGTTTCTAATATAGTGTACAAAATATCAGATTCTTCCAGATTATCCAGAGCTCTCAATCCTTCAGGTTTATTAAAGGAAACCTAGAACATTAAAATTTACCTCAAAGTTTATGGCACACATCAGTAAATAATTAAAATGTAAAATTAAAAACGTTGGAGGGAGGAAGGAAGGAAGGAAGGAAAGATGATTAGCTTAAAAGTCAGAC